GGTAAGAAATGAACTCTTCCCAAAAGCATGTACGTTCTTTGCCGTACAGTGGAGTGGAAAGAAATGAAAGGATTGGTTTTCTTTCAGTGTTTTGCTATAGGGCATGTGTGTGTGTAGGTAAAGACATCAGCCTTTGTACACATTATATATAAAAATATATTTGGACCCTTCTGAGAATATTCTCAAGTTATGCTGTCAAGACATATGTTAACCTGTTAAAATACGATGGAAGAAGGTGGAACAGTTCAGTGTAATGTTTAATATAACCAGACTGGCAGTGACCTTGAAATAGACTTGTACATAGAATCTCTGCTTGCACGTAGTCCAGTGGGGGGGAAAAATAAAACTGTGTAATTATTTGCAAACTGAGATACTATTTACCTGCTCTTCAGTTTTATTGGGCAGTTCTTACAGTGCTATAAGCTCAGGATTTGATTGAATACGAGAGACACAAAGTGCGTGTTCATCTTTGAACGTACAATTTATCCTTCCCTCAACTATTATCCATAATCCACTGTGGTATGTATTGTAGGTAAATTATTGAGTGATTGGTTTGATTTTTGCTGAACAGTTAGATAAAATCCATAATGATCCCTTTATTCTGGCGGTTTGAAGAAGGATAGGTAGTGCTGGGACTGTTTTGACCTATTGCTGCATCTTGAAGACTGGAGCCTTGGATAATGCTGCAGTTTTTAGCTTGATGCAGAAGCCAGAAGCAGAGCTAGTTTATGTACCTATGCTGGGCTGAAAACAGTGATGCTTCAGCAGCTGTCACTTAAAAGAAAGTCATGTTCCTGCCCAGAGATGATCATTAGAGTAAGAGGCAAGTGGCTGGAGATAACAGCTTTAGCAGACAAATTTAAGCTACTATTAAAAGCCATTCAGGTCTCCTAGGTTTTCCAAGACTGTCTTCCTCACTTTTTTTTCTGGTAGAGAATTCTTAGGGGGGAAAAACTATCTGATGGGGTTTTTTAAATCAAAAATATGTACGCAAGACAAAATACGCAGACCTCAGCAGTGGCACCTGTGCCTAGTGGGCAGATGGAATTTGTTATTTTTGAGGGGGAAGTGTGGACAAATGGTTTGTTTAACGAGGTTGGAATTCCTACAAGGTAACTGAAAAGCTCTTGTTTTCTGTTAATAGTGAACATGTTAATAAAAAAATGCAGGGAGCAGTAATAGAGGAGAAAAAGGTCAAGGCCTTTTTAGTGGATATGTGATGGCTGTGGTTTAGTTCTGGTGAATATGCAAATTCTTTTGTGTCGTTGCTCAGAACCTGTCCCCGTGTTTCTGTTAAACTTTAAAAGTCAAGTTTGAGAAGTCCAGCTTTACAGGTAGCACCTAGCAAGGAGTGCTGAATGTTTTAGTCATGTAGCTGGGTCTGTGTGTGTAGAGGGACCTTATTTTGCTCTGTCCCTGTTCCAGGTACATTGATATGTGGGTTCAGGGCAGTGGAAGGCTTTTGTAAACCACATCATCCTCACTTCATGTGTACAGGATCCCCTCGAGTGTTTCTGAATGTGGGTGAGCTAGATGTATTCTGGAGGTTGTTAACCTGGAAGCCTTATTTCCCCTGGAAACCCGATGCTTGCTGGTGTCTGATGGGAGATGTAAGGGTCGGTAGCAGACTTGGGGATGGCTTCAAGTGATATGCTTTGTGGGTGATCGGGAACCACATTAGGTGTACCCCAAGTTAAGCTGCTTGGGTGTGCACGGTGTGTGTGGAGAGTGCTCAGGTATCAGAGAATCACAGAATGGCCTAGGCTGGAAGGGACCTTAGAGATCATTTTAATCCAACCTCCCTGTTTTGGGCAGGGATGCCACCTCTTGACTAGACCAGGCAACACATGGGGACGGAATGGGAATCAAACCCGTGACCTCGGTGTTGTCATTGTTTTCAGCATTGTGCTAACCAGCAGTCTCTGCAGGAACCACACGTCACCTGTGAAGGGAACTGGCCTTGCTGGGACGTACCTTTACTGCCCTGCACGGAGCAGAAACCTGCAGACGATGGCCATGCAGCTGCATCACGTGGTGGGCATGATTTTTAGCTGCTGCTGAGCTCTGTAGTGATTATGGCTGTGACACACAGCTGTGTTATATGAGCTACCAATGTGTCTTCAGGTTGCAGCCTGCACAGGTGCCTTGAGAAGCCTTCTCTAGACTCCAGTCTTTATTTGCTCTCCCTCTAAGGCAGTGCCCCGATGTTGGTCTGTGCTTGGCGCAGTGTCCCTTGGCACGGTTGCAGCGATCAGCGTGCGCGGGAGCCAGAGCCAAGAGCCAGCAAGGAGAAGAGCAGCAGCAGGTCCTTTGGAGGTGACTGCTCTGCCCGGCTCCCCGCAGTGCTTTGCGGCACGGGCAGCTGGGACCTGTCTCCTCCGTGTAGCAGGATTAGTCTTGTCCTTTGCGGAGGGATGTTGTGTCAGTCAGCAGCTGAAACGCCCTGTGACGGCACATTTTTCTTGCTGCGCCTTTCTGATCCTGGCTGCGGGTGGATGGAGCTGGGCATTGCTTGCGTGTCTCGGCTTCACAAAGCTCAGCATGGGCGATAGGCACTGCAGATGTCATCACCTGTGGTAGCTAGCGTGCTCTTTTCCCTGGTTAAAGCATGTCAATGGAAATGTGTCTTGCATAAATATTGTGCAAGGAGATGGTTCAAGTGGCTGCATGCGTTACGCTTAAGTGAGTAAAATCATACATTCGTGTGGAAGAGTCCAGTGTTTATGTAGTAAACTCCCAAGAGGAGTACCTTTGGAGTTGCAGAAAGGACAGTGCTGGCAGAATGAGGCTTAAAAAATGAAAAGCTAGAGATGTACTGAAACACCTGGTGTGTGGTGAGGAGGGGACTGAGGGCCCTGGGAAGGAGCAGGCTTCTTGGCTGCGAGAAAAGCAGCCAGAGGCCCGAAAGGACTTGGATCCATCAGCTGCTCCTTGTAGGGGTGTTTGGAGTGGGTTGGATCCTGCAGTTTGGATACAGATGCACTTCAAGTAATTATCTCAGTGTTTACAGAGAAACATAAATCACAAAATGGAGTAATGCGTACTCTCTAGTTAGTAAGTTGAGGTCCTGCTCTTTAACATCGGCAGTTTTCCTTTCATGACTGTCTCTGAACGTGATGGTTTTTTTCACTGATGATCTTGAGGTGGTACTTTGGACTAAATGTCACTTGTCGTTGATAGGAAAAGAGGAAAAAATGACAGGTTGTTAATAAAAAATGAAGCTTGCATATCAGGTTAAGCTAAGTTTATGCTGCAAAGAAAGGTGTTCACGTTTTGGAATAAGAAGCTGTCCTTTGATCTGTAGCTGTCAACAGATAGTAATTACAGGAACTTATTCCTGCCTGTAGATCTCTTATCTAATCTTGTTGTATGTAACAATTTTGTGGCTTGGAAATATCTTCAATAAAAAGTTTTGTTGTTTTCTTTCCTGAGTCTTAGAGAGAGCTGTGTGTGTTAGCTGATAGTGCTGTTGAAAATTAGGTGGAAGAATAGACATTTCATCCCTTAGATCAAATTATTCTCCTTCATTCAAAATCAGACTGTGGCAGTAGGTTTTTGTGCATGGTGTAGCACAATCACTTTATAGTCAATTCTTCTTTTTTTAAGTCTGCAGGGCAGCTCTTGTAGACCTTCTTTTGACAGTAAATTTCTGGTGACATGAAGCAATTACAGCTGCTTTAAAATGTGTGTGATTGTCAGCTGGGGAGGCAAAAATTGCTTTAAGCATGATAGGTTACGGAGCACTGTCAATTGTGTGCTGAACTGTATGATCATGTAGTCTGGCTCTGAAACTTATTTCCACGTAAGGCTTCTTCCCCTCCAATAATTGATTTCTAAGCTACCTGAACTCTTTTGGTACCCACAGTCGTAAAACTGCTGCAGTCTCCATTCTTGGATGCTCCGGTGTGCCTCGGCTGGTGAACCACGTCTGTTCCTGCAGTACTGCTGCATTTCCAGTTTGCGAGATAAGTGACTCAGCACCTGGCTGTGCAGTGCAGGATGGGGGGGAAAAGGACGCAGGGCTGGTTTAGCAGTCAGTTCTGAGTGTCGGGTCAGGATGGCAAATTCTCCAGAAACACCTGGCAGATGTAAGCTGCAGTCCAGTGATCTGAGGAATGAATACATTGCCTCTTCATAAGCCTGTGCTCTTCATCAAAAAGCAACTTTACTCATGATTCATGTGTAGTAATGTTGGTTGGTAATTTCTTCAGCTCTAAATGGTGGTGCGTGTTGGGAATGAAAAATGCCAAGTTCAGGCCTTGGATGTAGCACAGGCTGAATTTATGAAGAATAAAAGCAACGGAAGGTTGGGGTTTTTTGCTTTTTTTACTATATCACATTACTGAAAATCAAGCAGGTTAATATTAGATACTATAATAACCAGGTTTTCTTGTTATAAATAATTTAATTCATATTCTTGGTGTTGGAATGCACAAATCAAGATTTATTCCCTTTGATGTGCAGTGCTTTAACTGTTTGTGTGACTTGCTAGTTTTTAAATACTGATCTATATGTAGGATAAATACTGAGCTAGTGTTTTTCCCATGGTCTACTTGCCTAGCATATACTGTCACATGAGTTTGAACATGGTTGAGTTTGAAGACCATGTTTGTCAAATTTAAGAAATTGGGACAGTACAGTTATTTTGTACAGTTATTTTTTTGAGTGCCTAGGTTTAGGTTTATCCTTTACAGATGATGTGAAGTTTTTCTGGATGTGACAGTCCTGGCAGTCCTGACAGTGAACTTCAAGGTCACAGCAGCATCCTGAGCAGCAGGTTTGTTATTAAAAAAATGCTCCTAGTGGTTTGATTTTATTCACTCATAAGAGGTGAAAACAGGGACTTGCTCAGAGAGTGCTTGTGTGGTGCTTGGTCTCCCCATGCGTTTGGGGTGCAAGTGAGGGGAGACACATGTAGGTGGGACCCTCCTGAGTGTGACTCTGGTCACCTAAGCCAAGTGGAGGAACAGAAGAGGAGATTAGGGGGAGTTTTGATTGAAGGATGTGAAATCCCATCACTTAAATATAGGCTTCAAAGCCAACTGATTTTCATCTGGTTCAAAAAGCGGTGATGACTGACAGCCTGTTAAAAATATGTAAATATAATACAGAATGTGTATATCATCTGTCTGTATATGTGGATGTGTACATACATGCATGTGTATATTTGTGTGTGTGTACGCATATATTTAGAAATACATAAAAAGGAGAGAAAGGAAGGAGGTGAGCTCCAGGGAGCAAGAAAAACTTCAGTCTGAACAGGAAATGACAAAGAACTTGCTATTAGTTTAT